GACTCACCTGCCATTCCTCTGTTTCAGTCCTGCAGGGCAGACAGCTCCCACCCAACACTTGCCCATGGGACAGAGGGCACTGTTGTGCCCTCGCAGTGACAGATTTATATGGATAAATATTAAGGCACACATTATTTTCTTTATGTCTTATTTTCCTATGTCTTTTATTTTTAGTCAGATCATTGTATCAGGCTAAATCAGTCTGGTATCGTAAGCATGTTTTTCAAGTGCTGGATTCTTTGTTCAGTTTTTTAAGATAAGACCTTATTATAAACCTTTATAGCGTTGACTGTGGTAGAATTTGATTTTTGGCCTTTGAAATTTATTCATGTATGTTTTCTTTTTGATTTAATTTTTTAAATTGAAGTACAGTTGATTTACAATGTTGTGTTAGTTTCAGGTGTACAGCAAAGTGATTCAGGTATAAACATATATATAATGTATATATATTCTTTTTCAGGTTCTTTTCCCTTATAGGTTATTACAAAATATTGAGTTCCCTGTTTCATACAGTAGGTCTTTTTTGGTTATCTATTTTATATATAGTAGTGTGTGTATGTTAACCCCGAAGTCCTAATTTATCCCTACCTTTCCCCTTTGGTAACCATGAGTTTGTATCACGTATATTTCAAGTATGGTGATGTTCCAAGCATTACTGGAGATATATACATATATATATACACATACACATATATATATATGTGTGTGTGTGTGTATAACTATGACTGCACATTTATATTTGCTAACTGAGCTCATTCTATATTATATATCATAAAATTATTTCACAGTCCTGTTAAAAACTTTATAGATATTTGAATGACTGAATATTCTTTCATCATATACATGTACCATAATTACCTTATAGTAATTTATTTAGAATAGTTACGTTTGGGGCCTATTATAAATAAACTACAATGAACACATTTCCCATATAGTTTCCTCATACTCAGTTTCTTCCCCCTAAAATTATATTGCTAGAATGCTTCAGTGGATGCCAGAGAGATAAATTTAAAGAAAGTTTTAATTACTAATGCCCCCCCAAAAAGAAGAAAATGGGTTGCATTATGGGATATAATGTGACTTTTATCCAAAACTGCCTTATCTTCTTGCAATTCTAACGTTTAACATATGACCAACTATAGAGAGTAGTGGTAATCACAGGTCCTGTGGCCTGGCTCCCTGGGGTGTAACTGTGTCTCTGCCACTTCCTCACTGGACAGACAACTTGAACTATGCCTCAGTTTCCTCAGCTGTGAAATGCTAATAATAGTAGTCCCTGCCTCTTCAGGTTGTTGTAAGAATTAAATGGGTTAATTTATGTAAATCTCTTGGAACCGTGCTAGCACAGAGTAGATGCTCACTCACTAAATGTTTTTGTTCATAACAGTAACAGCAACAGCATCTAAGAGAATATTTCCTAATTTTACATTTTCAAAGACTATTCTTTTGTTTCTATTCCTCCGGCACCTCAAATACTGAAGTATCTCAAATTACTTCTTAGACTCTTCCATACCTGCAAATACATGCACGGAATGTGCTTTAAGATTCCTAGGATTGCTAGTATTTGAGTTGTACACATAAATCACACAGCATGTGCATAGATCCTTATCTCAAACAGCCAATGGCAGAATTCTTAGCAAAATGTTTTTCACAGATGGTTGGGGTGCTTTCATAGTTTTCACCTTCGAGTCCAAAAGTTATCATGAAGATCACTAAAATAAAAGAGCAAAGCGTGGTGTAAACTCCTGCATATCTCCAGTAGAAAGAGAAAGCTGCCTACCCCAGTCAGTATCCCAAACCCTTGGCCATTTTCCTACCGTAGCCACACATTATGAGGCTGCAGATGGGTCTCTCTAAGGACATTCACTCCATTTGTTACAGTAAGGTTTTTATTTTTATTACAGTAAATTCTTACCCCACAGAGCTTGGCTGAACCTCATGGAGTCACTAGCAACTCTTGTGTAGACAAGGCAGGCCTGCTGGGCCTTCTTGGCCCATTCCTGCTAAACTCAGAGCTGATGTGGGCCTGTTATATGTTTACATGCCAATGACAAATGAAAAGTGTATATAGAGAGAGGAGCTGCCTCCGTACAGATTTCTTCTCCCCATTCCCTTTAAAGCAAGGTTTCTCAGCGTCAGCTGTACTGACAGTTGGACCAGATGACTCTCTTTCATGGCAGGCTGTCCTATGCATTATAGAATGTTTAGTCCCATCTCTGGCCTCTACCCACTAGATTCTAATATCACATACCCTCACCCCTGTTCATGGCAACCGAAAATGTCTCTAGACAAAACTGGCTCTGGGTGAGAACCCCTGCTCTAAGGCCACAGTGTAATAACATGTCTCTTTGTACCCTTGGCTTTGTACCCTTGGCTTTGACCGACTGGTGTCATATTCCTCAGAGAGTTCAAGGGGCCTTGGACACCGTCTCAAAGTCCGCCACTGAACTATATACAATCCGAAATAGACACCTGGAAGCACAGAAATAAAACCACTCCTCTACCAACATTATAACGCCAAGGCTTAAACTCTGTGTTCCTAAAAAGCTCAATTCCAGCTAAAGTAAAGAAAGTGATCTCTTCCTTTTTCTCAAACTTAATACATTTGTACTAAAATTAATTACATCAGTAAAACGGCAGGTTTTAAAATTTTATCACTCTATTAATTTTTCCTGTAGTCATCATCTCTATAGTGAAAATGTATAGTCTTCAAGGTACATCTTCAAGAAGATATCATTAATCACCTTGAAAAATTGTGCATTCCTTTTAAAAATGTGTATATATTCCACAGTTCTAGTCATCTTAGACTTACCGAGCCACTTGTTTTCTAACAATTTTGTTCTCGTAAACTTCATGCAGTATTTTTGTGCTCTGTGCACAAGCTGAATTCTTTGCACTCCTTTGGTATAAATAATGAGTTTATATTTTAAAGTTAGTGGTTAATGACAATCATGTCTGTTATTTCTATAGAAATTAAATCATTGGGAAATACACTTAGATAAATGTAGCTGATGTAGTTGCTGGTATGTGAATTCTATTATGGTGTTATGGAGTCTATTTTAATATAAACTGGCAGGATGGAATAAGCTACATATTACCTTTTTTTTACTTTAGAATATTTTTTTACGTAAATTGTTGAGTCAAATTTAGAACCCAAATTATCACTGAACCTAAAATGTCATGTCATTATTTTAACACCATGAAATATTGCCAAACAACTGTTCTTAGTTTTCTCTCAATCTTAAAACAAATATGTGTGGATGTGAGATTTTTTTTTTAGCTAACTAATTGGAAATCGTACTGCTTTTTGAGTGTTTTTTATTGATTTTTCATGTCTATTTTGATGAAAAATTACATGCCAAAGGAGCCCCTTTATGAAATATGTAATAGCAGACGCTTACACTTTTCATGTTGTGTTGCTGTTTATCTGAGTATTTCTTTTAGAAGTATTCTTGGCAGCTATAGCTATGAGCTATAGTTATTTCATAATTTAAAAAAATTTTCCCTTTGATTTTCATGAGCTTACGAATGCTCTACAGAGAAATGCAACTGAACAATTAATTGGCATCCATCAGATTTGGGCAAATTTTACATAACAACACTATTAATAAAAGCTAGCTTTTATTTAGTGTTTATTTTGTGTTAAATGTAACTCTTTGCTAAATTAGTTTCATGTAATCCTCATAGTGGTATGAACTTATTAAATATTTATGTCCATAATTGTCTGTGTTACTCTTTTTAATTGTCCATTATCCTAGCCTCTTGGTCAGTCAGTGTCTTGGGAATATCTTGTAGCTGAAGAGTGTTTGTCTGACAATAAGTATTTATTAATGGGTTCAAAACTTTGCTAGCCTTCTTGGTAAAAATGTTACAAATAATATAAAGAAGAAGAAGAGAAGGGCGAGGTAGGAGGAGCGATCTGGTTGAGGCCACGTGACCTAGAAACTTGCGATAACTAAGATTACGGTATCAGATGACATGCAATCAAGTGTAGATTGTGTGGTGGTGAGTTACAGGAATTCAGAGTTGGGAAAGGTTATTTAGACCTGAGGGTAGTTAGTGAAGCTCTGTGGGCAGTGGATTCTTATCTCAACCTCAAAGGAGTTTAGGATTTGGTTTGGTTGGTGACTGGCCAGTGATCAACACATTACATTGTAGATGAAAGGACAAGCAAGAGAAAAGTCCTAGAGATGAGAAAAAGCTTCCAGTGTAATGAATACTTTTGATCCAAGGGTTTGAAACTTTCCTGAAATTCTGACATGATTTTTGCACATTTTTAGGAAAAGAATATAGGTTGTTTTCTCATTTTTTCTGACCTAAAATAAGAGAGCATGAAAGTATTTCTGGGGTCAGAGAGACCTCAGATATGAAAAGTGAATACACCCAGTATTCATTTGGCACTTGGGCTGCCCATGATTCCAGAGATAGAAGAAAAGTTAAAAAGTTGTGTTTTTCCTATTTATTTCCTTAATTCAAAATTTATTACACCATACGTTGCCCTACAACAGAGGATTACAGTAGAAACTTGCCAACTGGTGTGTATTTTGCTTGTTGGTAGTAAATATTTCCGGACACCTTTCTCACATTGGCATTCTCTATTTCAGTGGTTTTCAGCCTTTTTTTTTTTCCGCCTCTTTCTGACTATTTCTTCTCTCCTTCTAGGTTGCAGTCTGATATACTCTCATAATCTCTCATTACATAGAATAATTATTCTAAGGAGAGGTTAGGCCTGGGGAAGATTTGTATGAGAATCCAGGAGAGGGGTGTGGGCCATAATGGTTTGAAAGTTCCCCTCAGAAATATTGGTATCTCCCCTTCACTGTGCCCTTTGCTATATAAGCATTTTTATATGCATTTTCAATTTTATACCTCGGTTGATATTTTTCTGGAGTGTGATTAATACATTAGATTATTAATAAATTCGAAAAAATTATCTTCAATAACTTAATTGGAAAGACTTTTAAAAATTCTTCTCTTTTTTATTTTATTTTATTTTTTAGATCCCAAAATCTAGGAGTGAGGGATCTATTCGGGCCCACAGGGTACCGCAACCAGAGCTGTCTGATGGCGTTCCTCAGGTCAGCCTGCAGCTAAGTCAGAGAAATTCCTGCTGGGATGACATGAATTCAGCAGAGGGTGCTAATGCTGCCAAATTGCTATCCAGGTTAGCGTGTTTCCTTTGTTTACACATCATGTATTGCATCATCTGTGCTGATACCCAGACCCGCATATGCAGGTATGTTTGCACGTATCTACCACCGGGGTCATCGGGATACAGATCAGTAAAACTATTTAAAACCTACTGTAACTTTTGAAAAATTTCTGACTAGTAATTCTTTATCACAGAAGCATTCTTATCACACAAGCATTCCTAGTTTGTTATATTTTATTTTATGGATTAAAACAAATTATTTAGTCAGTCGGACTGTGCTAGGCTCACAGTTGGAAGAGTTTTTTTGCCTTTTCATAGTATGTTCAGTGGTCAACATTATTTGCAATGAAAGTGGACATCACAGGTGTTACTAGAACCAATTCTCACTCACAGATTTTGAACGTTGCCCTTTAACCTTTAGGTTGCACGTTAAACCTGAAAGCAAACTTCTTTGGTATACTTGAGGAGAAAGGCATACAATTTTCTTAAAATAGGTAAAATGGGGTCTAAATCTTATATACTCCTCACATATAGAATTTTTCCTTTTAAAGGTTTTTCATCTTTTATTATAACTGACAACCTATTTCTATAATTTAAAAAATGTCATTACAAGTATAAGACAGAGAGCTCTAAAGAATGGAAAGATTTTTAAGACATTATGTAAATAATGCAGTTAAAGAGCTTGCCACTTTGGACTGCCTTATAGAAAAGATGGAGTTCGAGCTGGATTTTTAAAATGAAGGTAATTTAAATATGAAGAAAAAGAAGGCAAGCCTCTTGTAGATGGGCCCAGTTAGGAGGCAAGAGTAGGTACAGTGTATTTGGGACACACCAAACAGAAGTCCTGTGAGGAATCAGTGGGGAAGAAGGCTGGGGAGGTGGGGTGAGGCCAAGCCACTGAGGACCTCGAATGCCAGCCTGCAGTTATTTCTTGTTCAGTCTTGCCCCTCACTGAACAGATGTTCAGCACTTGACCTCTGCTTCCAGAAAGTGCTTTAGGACAGAGGATGCAGCAGTGAACAAAGCCGACCAGACCCTGGAGTTCATGGACCTTATGTTCTAGTGAGGGAGGCAATAGCAAGACACACAGGAAAAAAAAAAAAAAAAAAAAGCCTGTGAAGACCGTTTCAGCTCATTAATAAATGAGGGAGTTAAGAAACAAGTAGGTTAACGTAGTAGACTGACCCAAAGACCATTTTAGTTCGCTTAGGCAGGGGAAGCCTGAATTGAGACAAGAAGGCGGGAGAGAAGAGAGCCCGCGAAGATCAAAGCAAGCGCATTTCTGTGCAGAAGAACTGAGGTCCGGAAGCTTCGCTTCCTGCTACAGGTAACAGGAAACCAGGGAGAGTTCCAGCTGGGTAGGGTTAGGTGATGGGAGCCATGGTAAGTTGGCATGTTGGAAAAGGAATTTTCCATCAGCATGCAGGCTTGATTGCGAGAGGAGAGCTTGGAGGCTGGTACAGTGTTGGTTCCTTCAACAGTTATTAATTTTCACTGAGATCTAGTTGTGTGGCATTTACTTGCTGGGCGCTGGGGATTCAGAGAATGAGAGACATATGCCTTGCACTTGGGGAGGCAGAGGATAAGTGAGTAAAAATTCCATAATTATCATTAAATAGACATTCGCTAAGTGCCTGTTACATACCAGGCACTGTGAAATGGGCAGGTGATAAAGTCATTCAAGTGCCGCTCTTAAGGCTCTTCGAAAACCGTCCGCAGGTTGCCGTGTGAGAGGTGGGGACCCGGAGTTCAGAAGTTTCAGAAAGAGGGTGATTTTTTGTTTGTTTGTTTGTTTGTTTGCGGTACGCGGGCCTCTCACTGCTGTGTCCTCTCCCGTTGCGGAGCACAGGCTCCGGACGCGCAGGCTCAGCGGCCATGGCTCACGGGCCCAGCCGCTCCGCGGCATGTGGGATCCTCCAGGACCGGGGCACGAACCCGTGTCCCCTGCATCGGCAGGCGGACTCTCAACCACTGCGCCACCAGGGAAGCCCATGAGGGTGATTTTTGAACTGAGGCTAGTGGGATTCGTGGAGGTACTGGGCAGGGAAACCAAGAGAAGGGTGCTTCTGGAAGAAAAAAAGCACATGTGCAAGGACACGTAGGGCAGTGAGGACAGCTTAGAGGAGAGCTGTGAGTGCGGCGGGGAGACAGGACATCTGGATTTTGGAACTGAGACTGGCAGAGGGGCTAAAGGTGGGGTAAGAGACGAAGATGAATAGGTCAGGTCGTGAGCAACTGTACCCCATATTAAGGAGCTTGGATTTTTCTCTTAGAAGTGACGGAGGGTGATTACAGGAATATAAGCAGGAAAACGATAGAAACAGACTTACATTTTATAAATTCCTGTGTGTTTCTGAGACACAAATCAAGAAGTGAGATTATGGAGAGAAGGCACAGCTACCATTGCTCTGGCCTCCGTTTGTCCCTCTGGTTAGCATATCTCCAGTTAAAACAAATGCATATTAGTATTTTTTAATTTCTTCTGTACCTTCCAATTGTTTTTTTAAGTACGGTCTTAAAGAACTAACTTCTTCCCGCTGGGCAACCGTAAAGATTTAGATAGGACAACACCTCCCTGTCAAACCTTGCGACCCACCATCGTGCAGAAGCTCATTCAGTCTCTTGTCTCTATCCATAAATCTGGAGTGTCTGTGCAGAGATTTTTACTTTTTTATTTTTATATACCTCTTAATATACCTCTTATATATACCTCTTAATAGATTGACAAATTATCAAAAGACAAATGGAGACCATTAAAATGAATTTAACTAAAAATAACTTTTAATTCTTTTATATGTCTTTGAAGTAGCAGAATAGGTCTTGTGCCAATTTTTATTTCAAAAATGAACTTACGAAGATGTTTTCATTTGCAGTTGCTTTCTAAAACAAGTTATTGGTTAGTTCATAAATTTGAGCTAGAAAAAAAGAAGTGTGCCTGTGTTTGGTGCACACACTCAACTTTCTCTAAATCTTTTCTTAGGGAAATTTCCATTTTTCTCTTTAACAGTTTATTGATTGCCTCAGTCTTAACCACAGAGGTTGGCAGTGTTAAGTATTTTGCTATGCCCTTGTTCTCTAAATATAGTTACTTTGGCTTACCAACACTTTTCCAAGGAATTGGCAAGAAGCATTCATCTGAGCTTTTCATAGTATTGATTTATTTTTTAGTTGCTCCTATTAAAAGAAAAAAAAACAATTCAGCAAAATCTATTCTTGTTTGACCTATGGTCTGGTAAGTTTGATTTACTTTACACAACAAAAAATAAAGCAATTCTCTTTGCACTTCTTAATAAAATCATTGCAACACATTTATACATAACAGTTTGATTTTCAGCGGAGCTACCATATCAGTTAACAACAAAGATAAAACCAAGAAAGAACCTTTGGTATGAAATGTCCAGAATGATGAAGTGTCCTATGATTTTTCAACAACAGGTTTGATATCTAGGGCTTTGAGAAGTGATTTTGGCTAACCGTGTGTTCTTGATAACTTGGAATTATTAGAGTTTAGACCTTGTTCAGTATTTTTTCCCAGGTTGGCTGACTTTGATCTTTTTTCTTCTTAGTTTCAAATCTTAAACATAGTCCCATTGCTTCTTGAGATGTAATAGAAATGTGAATTTTTATCAGCAAGTGTTCATTGTTTTTCTGCTCTTCAGATAGTGGCAGTAGAAATAAAAGCATAAAGGAGTAACACATTTTAAAATGAGCATTCAGAGAGGAGCTCAGTATCATGTATTGCTTACTGGCTGACTTTTATCTTGGAACATTATTTATTTATATGAATAACTTTTTTCTGTATTTCTGTAATTGTCTAAAATTGGCTTTGAGGATATAATCATATAAACAATCATTTTTCTAGCCTTCATAGAATCTTTCTCTCATAATTAAAATGGCTTCGTGAGAAAAGCTTAGGAATAACAATCTCTTGATTTTGTTAGAGCTCAGTGGAGCTGTTTTATGCTGGATTCGCAGGCAAGGACAGAAGTGCTTAGTGAGAGGTTCACTTCATTCAGTAAAGGCATTTAGCTAATCCATTTATATCATCTAAATCTGACATCAGCAATTTCCAAAATATTGTCAATAATTCTTTTTTGTAATCCAGCTGCTGGCATTACCAAAACTCACAGTAGACTGAAAGGCATAACTCCTAATCTGACATGCTGACTTCAAAGGAGTAAAGGCCTGTCCTTCTCCGCCGTGTAACTACAGTGCACAAGTTTGGTGGGTTAGAGGCACGCACAGAAATGAGGATACTGTTGGACAGATGCATCCCTTAGGCAAGGCTGGAACATTCCAGTCCCTCTCCCTACACATGATAATCTTATCTTGTTTCCGTTAAAAATACTGAGGAAAATATTTGTTTTGTCATTTACACAAGAACTAAACTGTAGGTGTTAACTTGGTTAGTAAACAGGCCACTTAAAAATTTTCCTGGAAGGGAAAGTTACACATCCATCCTAAAAAAGTAAAAGGAAAAGATCTGTATGTAAAGTTTAAGATGTTAAAATGATTTGAAGCTTCAAGGATAGCTATATTATTATCTATTTCAACATGTGAAATAGATAAATGATTATTTTTTCATGTTACTGGCACTATACTCATTACTTCCAGGATTTAACTTTAGAGCTTAAAGAAGAGGATTAATATTTTGAGTCTTTTAGATGTTAAACAATATTTATTGTAATGTTTTATTTGAAAGGTTATGCATTTCCTTAAATATGTGATTTTCTTAAAGGCCAAAGGAAAATTTCTAGTTTTGTTCTATAAAGTCAGAGCGAAGACTCAAGAAAAACTGTATGTTGTATGATTCCATCTATATGAAATGTCCAGAAAAGGCAAATTTATAGAAACAGAAAGTAGAATTGTGATTGTCAGGGGGTGGGGAGCCAGGAAGGGACTGTATAGGTACAGGAGATGAACTGTACATGCCTGGAGGGACCTTATTTAGGGGAATGAAAATATTCTAAACTGATTTATCATGATAGTCACACCACTTGGTAAAGTTACTA